AAAGAAGAAGAATATTTGACAATAAAAACACCTGCGGGGTTAGACAGTAAAAAACAAAAAACGAAACGTTCCATCGTTTCGTCTAAGCGATAGCGTCTTTCGTTTTCCCGAGAAAGCTAGACAGTAACAGACGATAGTCACTTTCGTGCAGACGAAGGTGAATCGTCAAAAAAAACTAATTATTGTCTCTGCTGACGATGACTGTTGTGTCATCTGAATTTGACGTATAAAAATGTAAAATGTTCACGAAGTGTGTTGGAGTTTAAAATTTAATAAAAATGAGTAAAAACGCGAGCAGCGAACAAATCGCCGTGATGTCTCTGCTGCCTCCTCTTCAAGTGCTCATGCTGCCCCTTCATCAGCAATTGATCCTACATCTGATTTTGGTCATAGTCAAGGTAAATACTAACATATGAATTGAAACACTACAGTTCTAGATTGTATCTTTCCTGTTCCTAGCTTTTCCACCAAGCTTTAAACACATAATTTATTGACAGATGCATCGCAGAACAGACGAAGACGCGTTTTAAAATCAACGCGACGGACCTCCTCTATTGAGACGCCGTATGATCGAGTGGCAAAAGAGTTTGCTGCTGCGGAATTACAGCGGTTGAAGTTGGAGGAGGACAGTGACAGGAGGCAGCATGCATTAGAAATAAAAAAGGCTTGAGCTGGAAACCTTGCGTGAAACCAATCTTCACGAAAGGGAAGCTGTCAGAGCCCAGATTGATAGGGATACAATAAATGTCCAACAAGCATTCCTCAAACTTCTTCAAGACGCCATAACGAAATTTTCTCATTGACATTACTTCCTTTTTTCTGCTGGCGGTTCATTCTACCAATCTGGTTATAATAACGAAGTAACGTCGCGAGTCCCACGGAGGGCGACACCTTGGGTTGGCTGAGAAAAGAATGTAGCTTTAATAAGCAGTCTCAAATGCAAAAACATCTAACATTTACATAGTTTTTATTTGTAACTTGTGTAATTTATGTTTTTTATGTTAATTTTGAAATAAAAATGATCGTAAATAAAGTTTATTTTTCATTATCATCTAAAGGGTCTAAGGTAGAGTTGTTAAAAGGCTTGAGTCTCCCGAGTGTTCGACTCATTCAAGGCTCGAGCCTTATTGCGAGGTTCCAACTTTGACTCGAGCTCTGTTTTGAAGGCTCACTACACAACATTGTTCTCCAAAATAAATCTACTAAACAATGCATTTTTATTAACCTTAATGCTTATAACATACTTTTATACGCTAGTTATTAAAATTATGCACATGACTATTAACTTTATTGTAATTAGCTGTTGCCCGCGACTTCGTCCACGCAATATTAAGATAAAAAAAAAGTAAACAGTGGTAGAGTCCGCTCAAACATTGTCGCGCGAATGAGTCGACTCGCCCGATGCAATACCACGACCACAAAGAAGACAGGCGTGAAGTGGGAGCATTCCGCGTTTTGACTGATTTAGTCCATTATCCTTCCTACCCTCTTTCTTTAAGGATGGGAAGGGAACGTGGATTTTACGTGTGAGGAGAAGCATAGGAAGAGGAAATATCATCTTGACCATATGTGCGTTTCCTCCATCGATTTAGGGTAGGCAACGGTTATATTTATATACCATTTAAAGATTTTTCACCTTAGAAGATTAAATTAATATTTAGTAATAATTAAAGACATTTAACTAAAGTTGATTCAGTTGATCTCGAAGCAAAACGAGACACCTTTGAGAATCGCCTCAAAAACGAACGATCGTGTCGCTTTAAAAACGATTATGTTTGTCATTTCGTGTTACTGTCTAGGAATTTTAAAGGAAATAGTCGAAAAACGACAGACGAAAGACGAAAGCGACCTTCGTGCGTGTCACTGTCTAAGATTTTAACGCGTGACGTCAGACGTCAGTGTCTCAACCAATCACAATCGAACGATAATCGCTTTCGTTTCGTTCATGTTTTTTACTGTCTAACCCTGCTGAACAAAACATTGTTAACTTACAAGCTGAACTAGACAGCCAATCATATCCGTCTAACGATTCATTTCGATTAATCAAAATATCAAATCAATGTCAAATAAGTTGATGACAAGCCTAAAAAATGTCGGCGTGATCAAGGAATATTTCCCGCGAATTAATAAACTCCCGTCATGGCGCCGGCGCGGCGCTGCACACATCGATCTTACAATCAATTGCTAATTATTGGTTAAAAAATACCAATCTATATCTATCTATACTTAATGTAATAAAGCGAAAACACAAACAACTTTAACAGTAGTAGAGCCCGCTTTAACATCTTCGCACGAATGAGTAGGCTCGACTGATGTAATACCACACGGAAAACAGGTGTGAAGTGGAAGCTATTCCGCGTTTCGTCTGATGAGTACGGTGCCGGAGGCCCAACGTTGGTTTTCCTTTCTCTTGCACGAAAAGGATGGGAAAGGAACGTGAATATCCTCTTTATGGGTGTCGATCAACATGCAACGCAACAACTGGAAAGGGACAACAACAACAAATGTAATTGAAGCAAAGAAGCGAGATTGTTATGGTAACGGTAATTTGAGCATTAGAATTTTGATATTTGTGGTATTTTGGAGTTTAACGGAATAAAGTGTTTATAATGTCATGCGCATGACAAACGGGAACATCTCCTTAATAATAATAATGAACGTATTATCATCAACGATTCAATAACTGTGTTTACTTCGTAAACTGACTCTTATGTTCTCGAGTTACACAAAACGCGAAATAAACTCGATACTCTGCGCCGCCAGCTAAATACGTTTTAAATCTACACGTGCTGGAAAATTCCATGATTATTAAATAAAATAGGTCAACAAAACTGTGGTTAAATGAATAGTCGGTCAACTAACTGTCGCCTGCGTCTCCGTCCACGGGGAATCAAAAAAATAATTTAATTGGTAGCCTACGTGTTCTTCCAGACTATGTTCTAATTCTATGCCAAATCCATTGTAGAACACAATAGAACACGATAGAAAAAAGACAAATATCCATACAAACTTTCGCATTTATAATATTAGTATAAAATATATGAATATATTTTAACTTTTCATAATTTCAAGAATAGTACAGGGTACAATATGTTGCTACTTGACCCTCTTTCTAGGTAAATTGCTCTCGCTAATATAAATAATTGAAATAAACATATAAGATAACGGTGTACAATATTAATTTTACAAGGAAATAAAGCTGGACAAAATGCGTGTTGTTATAAAGATGGCGCTATTGTGCGGACACGTTAGTTGCCAACTTTATGATACAATCGCGTTTACCTTTTTAATAAATATACTAGCGAATAATATGAAACGAATCCCTATACGGTTGGGCGATCGCCTAGTTCGCTGGACACAAAGGGCGAAATAACAGTCTCAGAAGCCTGTTTTCTTGCAATTTATTAATGTAAAACTACAAAAAATGTTAGTATTTGGAAGTTTTTGTCTATTTTATATTTTTAATTGTCTAGGGGGCCGCTTTCTGCCTTGGCGATGTCCATATGAATCAAACGTTGTCAATTAATTATTTTTTAATTTTGTTTTATTTATCTTGTTAAATTCAATTTTTGGTTACAAGGTAATAATTATTGCGATATGTTAGTATTCTCGGCGGAAAAACCCATACACAAATATCGTTATTATATTTTTTTTTAAATAGTAACTAAAATGAATTATAATACATTTATTATAATATGTATTTAAAACTAACGGTTTACTGTCGAGTATAGTAATTAATTTAGACATTTCTAACAGTTAAAGTAGTCAATATCTGCAAATGATGTCCGTAACAACGGTCGCTTTGCTATTTTGGCGAATTCCATTCCCTTGTTTGACTAAACTATCGCACACCGTTGTGCGATAGTTTCGCAGCCAATTCAACTGTTTAGTTGCACAACTAATAATCGAGTAGTGTACCTCCATATAGGTCATAGGAATCAAAGCAAAACTAAACAGTTGTGCGATAGTTTAGTCTAAGGTGCATGTTCTTATACTATATTATTATCGAGATTGAATAAAACAAATTTGAAGTTTTAATCATTTATTAAATTGGAAAGCAACTACATACAATAAAAGAAACAATAAACAAGAAAATTATTTAATAATAATTTTTAAAACATATTTTCACACAGAACATAATAAATCGTAATGTGAACTACATTTAAACATTAATTTTAATAAAACTCCTGCGAACAAAATTACATCATGATTCTAATAGCACTACGATATTATGGACACGCTTACAAAAAGACCTTATAACTATACTGAGTGTAGTTTAAGGGTTACTTAAACATTCGCTTAATACAGTATTGTAAAGACTCCCTTAGTGACCATTTACGACTAAATGTGGCAGTTTATTAGGCACCGTAGTGAGCTACAGACCTCCGCAAAGGTACAGTCGGCTTCAAAATATCTTTATATTTGTAAGATTTCAAAAACTTAGATTTTTATGTACGATGTCAGAAATCACAGTATATTTTTGAATAATTCATCAATTAAACGCCTTACTCTTACGACACGCTATAGGTTATATATTTTCTTGCTATTTAGGGGGTGAATAAATTGGAAAAAAAACCTTAAAAGGAACAAAAACTCTAATTGTTAGCCGATAGTAAAGGTTTTCGTTGCAATTTGACATCAGATACTGATTGTGCTGACTTACCAAACATATAAATTAACTGAATATTGACATTTGCAAGAGTTTTAGGGAATGTAAACAATATTTTTTTTATAATATACGGATAACGCCACATAATAACTAGTGTACATATTTATGCAGCTGATTGTACATATAAGTTTATGAGTGTGGTGCCGGAGGCCCAATTTAAGTCCATTTCTCTTTACCACCCTTTTCTTATAAGGAGAGGATGGGAAGGGGAAGTAGATTTGACGGTGGAGGAGATGCATAGGAAGGGGAAACATCCTCTTTATGTACGTCTCCTCCTTCGTCGGATAAGGGTAGGCAACGCATCTGCAATTGCGGATGTCCATGGGTAGCGGTCGCTTCGCCATTTTGACGGATTCAGGTAGCCGCTTGCTTGTTTGCCATCTTGTTATAAAAAAAATAAAGAAATACTAAAGTTAAAAGTGAATACTTCAGTAAACTTTCGGTAATAGTTAAATAATAGGTCCCATACCTACCATATATTGGGTGATATAATGAAATATACATTTCTGTCAAAAATATTGGAATATATATTCATATTTGGTCATATTACCCATTTTATAACTTTATTAGATGAATTTGTCAAAATCCAAACCTTTAACAAGTATTGAAAAAATACACAAATGCAATAAAAGTCTAAAGTTTTAATCTAGAAAAAAGTTAAAATCGTGATTAGAATGTATCCAGATTGTATTTGGGCGTGATAATGCCATCGTCACTAGTTAACCAAACTTTTGTGGTTAAGTTTTAACTTTGTATGTAATAAGTCTAAAACTATTATCTTAGGTCTTAGTTGGTAGTCCGGCAAATTTATCTGACCCGTTAAACCCTGTCAACGTTGAATCAAGATTACTGTAGTTGTTTTGTCATTTTCTATATGTGAAATACGTTTTTACAACAGGTCCAATGACTGGCTATGTAGTGCCCCCCCGTTCAGTCGGAGGAGGAGGTGGAGGGGGAGCGCCGACGCCGGGACTTCGGGCTGTGGCGGGACCTGTGGACATAACATATATTTTACTAATATAAATGCGAAAGTTTATATTGATCGATGTTTGTAACTTTAACTCTAAAATTTGTAACTTAAATTGCTTGATTCAGAAAAAATTTGGCATAGGTGTAGATTATAGTCTGGAAAAGCACATAGTAAACCTGCTTTTGTTTTTTATTTAATTCCACTTGGATGAAGTCGCGGGGCAAAGGCTAATTAACTTGTTTTTTTTTATTATCTGGCATTTTGGTAGGCTGTATATATTTGTGTGGTACATGATGACCAGTCAGACTTGGGAGTTGTGTTCTGTGTTTGGTGTTGGGGTTGGGTATCGGTGTTGGTGGTGGGGTTGGGTGTCGGGTGTTGGTGTTGGGTGTTGGGTGTTGGGTGTCGGATGTTAGTGTTGGTGTTGTGTCACCTGGGGCTGCGCGTGCGGCGCCGGCGACGAGACCCCGACGAGGCCGAGGACTCGCTGGACGCACGCTTCTTCTTTAATTCTACAATGATATTGTACTTTTAACTTTTCAGAAATCAAACATTAGATTTACAATAAAAACAGTTTTGACTTCAATTTTGGATACAATTTTAAGGCAACACAATAGAAAAATAAGGAAATTGCTCGAATTCTATACAGATACTATGAAACAGCTAAAAATAAATGTATATAAAAGTAAAAATATCTTCTAGCATGTTAAAGTAATTGATAAGAAAGTAATTTTTAACTGCAACTTGAAGTTTTTGTGTGTGTACGTACCCTTAGCTTTGGCCTCGCGGTCTCTCTGGCGAGACTTGATCAGCCTCACGATCTCCATCAGCTCCTTGCGCGCTTCATCACGCTCCTCCTCCTGCACACACACACAACACTTATACACAACTGTACATACCAATATACAACTATATAAATGCGAATAATCGGATACCGTTTGTCACAAATGTAGAACATAGTATGTATAAAGGGTACATTTATATGTAATTCCGTGCAGGCGGAGTCGTCGGCGATATTTAGTGTCACAAAATTAATAATTGAAATAATACTTGTAATATATATAATATGCGTAACATTTAAATAAATGGATAGATGTTATTACGTATCTCCATAACAACTAAACAGATTTTTAAAAATTTCATTTTCATTAAAGTGAAAAAATAAAGCATTTTTTACTTACTATTTTTTTTTAATCCCGCCGACACAGTCGATGGCAGATGTAGTTTATCTTTTAGATTTTGTTAATTTTAAACACTTAAATACTTTAGTTGGAAATTTACCTTTTTCTTGTCTTCCTCTGTGGCTGGTTTGGTTTTGTCGCGACCCTCCGCGCCCTCCTTGCGGTCACCTTTTGGCGACTTTGTCCTATCACAAATTAAATACAATAAAAATTAAGATAAAGTATAGATAAATCAAGATAAAGTATAGTACCTTTCTTTAGTAGAGCTCTTTCTATCTCTGTGCTTCTCCCTCTCTCGCGACTCCTCTCGTTTAATTTCCTTTCTACCTCTATCTTCTTTTCTCGAATCTCTATCATCCCGAGACTCCTTATCCTTTTTCCCTGACTCTTCTCTTCTGTGATCACGACTCTCTCTGTCTTCTTTCCTATAATCTTTCTCATCTCTTCTCGATTCCCTTTCGTCTTTTTTAACCTTCTCATCCTTCCGTACTTCCTTGTCGTCTTTTCTCACATCCTTGTCATATTTTCTTCCTTCTTTATCGTCCTTTCTATATTCTCTGTCATCTTTGCGGTGCTCCGAGTGCTTGCGGTCATCTCTTTCACTCCTGTGTCCATGCTTCTCGTCTCTTTCCTTCTCCTTATATCTCTCTTTTTCTTTCTCGCGGCGGGTGTCAGTGCGTTCTTGACGTTCTTCCTTTCTTTACGGGAAATATTTATGTATTATAATTTTAGTCATATTGCTTAGGTATGTAAAGTAATACATACATTTTTCATTTACAAAAAAAACTTTTAGAAGTTAATTTAAGAATTAAAGAAAAAATAGTTTCTGACTAAGACACTCACCGCTGATCTTTGAACCTGTCTTTATTATGGCTGGCGAAGGTGCTTCTAAGCAGTCTGAAGGGGTCGTAGCCGACGTCGTCTCCGCCCTCGTCCTCATGGCGAGTGTTGTCGCGGGGGGTGTCTCGGGGGGTGTCGCGGTGCGCGGCGGGCGCGGCGGGCGCGGGGGGCACGGGCAGCACGCACGACGCCAGCCCGTCGCGCCGCCGCGGCCGCTCGCGGGTATCACGCTCATCTCTAACACAGTAACAAATCAACTAATTGTTACTGGAATTCGCCAAAATAGCGAAGAGACCGTTGCAACCTTTGCTAGGGAGGAATGAAATGCGATCATCGGTTGTGTTGTGTTAGTAGTAATCAGTGGTTGTGTTGTGTTGAATGGTTGTATTGAGTGGTTATGTTGTGTACCTGAGCTGGTCGTGTCGCGGATGCACGCCGAGCGCGCGCGCCAGCGCCTCAGCGCGCTGCCGGGGCGAAGTCGCGCGCGCCGCCCCTCGCGTAGCCCCACGTGCCGCTCCCCGTGCAGCCCCACGCCCTGCGCGGGCCACTCGCCCTCCTGATTTTACATCAATACAAGTCAAAATCTACTTTAAACCGGTTCCAAATCCAGCCAACTTGAATTGTTAAGCTGCGGCATAACAAGTTAATTATCAGTTCACAGGTTACCGCCATGTTTTATAACTATTTGATGCCTCGTGGCTCACAGCTGGAAACATAAATCATAACTTTATGACTCTATGCACGTATAAATTAAGCTGATCTGTGAGCCGGATCACTGATCTACTTCACACATGCAAGCCGAGTTACTTCATTAATTAAATAATTAAGTCCTCGAGTTACTTAATACACAGGCAATATCTATTTACAATCAGAATAAGTAGAAACAATATATACCTTCGTGTTCGATATCTTCTTCGAAGTCGAGAGCGTTGTAATCAACTTTCTCATGCCTTGATTGATCTGAATAAAAAAACACAATGAAAGCTTTAGAAATAAATCAATAAATCGATCATTATATATCACAGAGGAATCTAGATCAGTAGATAAATAACTAACCATGCGTAGAGTCACACTCTCCTTCTTCTTTCTCCTGCTCTGGCGTGCCTGGCTCCCCATCTGCATTTAAAAAAGAATTTTATATTTATGTTAACTACGATATCATAATGAAAGAGAAATTGCTCACCATTAAGAGGCTTTTCTGCAGGCTTTTGTGGCTCGAGTGCCTCCCGCTCCGCCCTCTCCTGGTCCATGCGCTACAAATTCACATAACAACATTGAGACAATTGCTACAAAAAGCGAGAGTTGTGTGTGTGGTCAAAGAGATGAAACTTGTTGTATATGACCCCGTGAGGGCGAAAATGAAAGTTACGGTGTGTTACACCTGAGAGCGAGAGATTAAGAATTGTTGTGTGAGAGTGCGTTTTGTTGTGTTACCCCGAGAGCGAGAATCGGTGTTGTGAGTGTTTTGGTGTTATGTGAGATGGAGTGTTGTTGAGAGCGAGAGTGAGAATTTTGGTGTTGAGAGAATGAGTGTTATTGTGTGTTACCCATTGAGAGCGGGATGTTGAGTGTTGTGGTGTACCTCGAAAGATTGCATGTTTGTATGTTACCTCATAGTCGGAGAGCTTGATGATCCTGCGCTGCGCCTGTCGCCAGTGCGGTGGCGTCACCGAGCGCGAGCGCGAGCGAGACCGCGACGGCGTGCGGTAGCGCTGATATAATATACCGTCGGTTAAATAGAAAAAAGGCAGTATTTTTGAATAGTTACAAGACAATGATTCAAAGTTTTTAAAATTATCTATCCTTTAAATGCATTCATACATAAGTATTTTCGTCATTAAACAATAGATTATTTAGAAAAATCATTTTTTTTAACGTTCCCTTTCTTAATCTGTGTTTAATTAATCCGTTTCAATTTATGGTATTTAAAAAAAAAACATATATTCAAGGGTTACATTATTTTTCCTTTTAATGTTTTACACAGATATATTACATCATTTTAAAAGTATTTAGATAATCATTAAGACGGCGTGATTAATTTAATTTTGGAAATAACATTATTCTATTTAATCGACGGATTATCATTCGCTACTCGTACAATTCCACATTAAAATTGATATATCTAATAAATTGTACTATAAACATCACTATTCACGTCAGTATACTCACGAAAACGCCCCGGCCCTTTATAATCCTGCCGCTCCTAGTGTATGCGTGGCGATCTCGCTCCCGGTACCGCATCCTGCGTTATCAAATACACAATAGCATTGTTTACACTTAAATCTTACTAATATTAGAAATGCGAAAGTTTAGATGGATGGATGTTTGTTAGAGTTTGTAGCCTAAACTACTGAACAGATCTCGATGAAATTTAACACAGATGTAAAAGAGCCTGGAAGAAAACATAGGCTACTCACTTTTGGTTTTTTTAATTCGACGACAGAGTCCCGAGCGAAAGCTAATCTTATATAAATGTTGAAAATAACATTTCATAGTATGCAAAAAAACAGACTTACATTAAGAATTGGCTAAAGCTGTGAAAGCAAGTTTTAAATTCAAATAAAAAAAATGCATTTATATAGAAACCTCTTGTTTTTTAATTAACATTTTGTCTAGTTATATTTTTTTATTATTATTAAATCAACAAACCAAAGGTTGACTCCAATAATATGATGAATCACAGACTGGAAAAAACTAAACATGTAAATAAATTTATTTCCATACATTTTAACAGTATGTATTTAACTAAATTATATTACAAATACAAAAACCAAGTTTAAAACAAAAATATCCGATTTTAGGTACAATCTAGACTAATATTATAAAAAGAAAAGATTTGTATTTTTGTATGTATTGAAATAACTCAAAAACTACTGGACCGATTTTAAAAATTCTTTCACCATTAGAACGGTAATTTAATTGTGAGTAACAAAGCTTGTATTTGCTTAATTTTACGCGAGCAACAGATCTTTTTTTTATAAAAAAACTTAAAAACTATGGGCTAATTTTTGATTATCCAAAAAGTGGGACCAATGCTGATATTCCGCATCAAACAACATTGTAAGAAATACCAATAAAATTGAAAACCTCGTTCTTTCTGAAGTCAGTTAACAAACCATAAAAGCGATATCAGCTGAGCATAGCAACTTAAATCCTACCTTTCTCTATCCTTTTTATCATGATCCTTGCCCCCCCGCAGCAGGAACTTATGCTCAGGCACCTCCGGGATCTCTCGAGGGTCTATCTTCGATGTCATCACCAGAGGATGACCAGCTTGCTCTGCCTCCTGACCATCCGAGGACTCGGATTGATGTCTGCGATTTGTGGGACTTTTATTGTAACACTCACACTGGATATGCAGTAAGTTACAAATGTAAATTCAGTATTAGACTAAGGTATTGTTAAATAACCATTAAATGACTGTGTGGTGTATTTTGTGTATATAAACAAATGTATGCTGATATTATCAACTAATAAATTGTAACTAACGGTTTTTACTGTTATGGAACTATTCTTAAAATAAATGCATACATAAGTTAAAGTAAGAACTTAAAATAACTTCAGGCTATTGAGTACATTTTTAATAAATTTTGTAAATAATTAGCTGATCTCCTGGGGTGGTTCATCTGCATAATATAGAAGCTTTTTTCTTCTATTCTATAATAAATAAAAATAAATCTTAACACTTCATTATATTAGTATAGATATCACTTACCTTTTCTTTTTCTTATCCTTCTTCTTCTTCTTTTCCTTCTTCTGAGAATGATCAGATTCTCCATCACTCTCCTCTTTTACTTTCTCCTTATCCTGCTTACGTTTTTTACCTGTTTAAATA